AGTAAACATTATACACAAGAACGTGCTGTGCCTTCCACTTAAACAGGTCTTCATTAACCTGTCAAGATTCCTTTGCACTTTCAAGAAGGCCTATAGGCCTTCATTTCACACCCTAAGTATGTAGTAAAAATATTAAGTTCCATCTCATGAACACAGTACTTCAGTGGGCTACAATGTTTCCTTTGCATTATTTCAAACACCCCGGACTTAGAGGAGCCTCAAGATCATAAAACTGCTTTGGAGCACAGGCATGCAGCAAAGGAGGTCAAAGTCTGCAGAGTGGACACATCTAGGCCACACTACTTGGTCTCTGCACATCTGGCTCCCACTTATTTCTTTCCCAGCCACTTTTCCCACATTTGCTGCAGATCATAGTCTTAGCATCCTTTATTTCAAATGTATGAAGATATATGTGAAAGATGGATACATAATTCAACACACATCCTTCCAAGATCTTACGTGAGAACACAGATGATCTGTAATTCAAATACCTCTCATGAGCTATAATTTCTTCAAGCTGGTGTCTCAGAGAAGATATGCCCCTTGAGTGGTCTTCCAAAACCAAAAAAATGCAAGCTCTTTCAGAGGCAATTCTAACACTGCACAGCCTTCACTGATAAGGTCTGTCCAAACCAGCAAGGAAACCTAAACCTAAGGCATTTACAAACAGCACCGAAAACATCTAAGTAAGTAAAATGCATCATGGGAGAAAATTATCTAGGTATACAGAGCCTGAGAAACAGGGCAGAAATTTATCTAAACATTATTTGCCAGTCCAGCTGCGAGGACCGTACACTAATGTATTTGTTAGTTGCTGCCACTGGCTAGCAGAAAACAGTCACATCAGAGTAATTTTCTTCAGGGTGTTCCTTTAAAAGTAATGCAAAGTAGAGATCATTGCAGCCATCTCATCTAGAAATAAGAAAAGTATGGCTTCTGTGGTGAGCAATGAGGGATAAATAAAAGATCACAGAGGCTGAGAAATCAAGTTCATGGGAACAAGAACTCAGGACCACAGAGAATTACACAGTTAATATTTTCCTCTAATTTCATGGTTAATGGAAGTGGTCTGTACTTTGACCTAGGAACCCTTTGTTAAGATGACTCAGACAGTACTAGGATTGTCAAGCTGATTGAACAACAGAGCTGTCAACAATGCCCAAGCCACATGAGTATGAGTTCCCTCTCCTGGATTATAATGAGAAGTGTTTTTTAGCAATTATTTAAGACACATTAGCAAGCAACAATACCCAGGCTGATATAAACCCACTGAAATCAGTGAGGATCCTAATTTAATTTGATGCCTCGGTGACATAAATTTACACTAGAAAACACAGGGCAGTGACAGATGTCCATCACAATAAATTATTTGAAGTTACACTCCAGATGTGTATTTTGCTCCTCTGCTGCAGACTAGAACAGCACTTATTTTCTCTGGTTTTGAGGAGCCTTTCAACAAAAGCAGCTGCAAGAATTAATACATTCTGCCCTACATGCTCATACCTGACCACTGTCAATCTTTTCAGCTACAAAGAACATTCTCTTAAATGGATAATACAAGCCTCAATTTAAATTAATTAAAACCTACATTCCCTGCACTTTAAGCTGAATTGATAGGTTTTGCACAGAAACAGACAAAGTGCATGTAAAAGCTTTGTTTTAATATATATTTACATTATTTGATTTTTCTATAACTTCTTACCACACTACATACACTCAGATTTTGTGAGTAAAGTGTTTAGGTGTATAAATAAAACTTTCAAAATTATGAAATATTAAAAGTGCAACTCTGTGCCAGGTTTGAGCTTATGACTGGGAACCAGGGTATTCTTTCACTAAGTCCTTTAAACAGAGAGCACACAGTGTTGTGTGCAACCTTTCAGAAATACTTCCGAAGAAGAAAGAATATATGCTGGTGGTTCATGGGCTGTAATGCTTGCCCTTGAGAAACAAGGCTTCAGCCCTTTCGTTGGACAGAGAGAGGTCAGATCATAAAATCCCTGTTCCTGGAAGCTGACAGGCTATCCTGTCTTCATCAAGCCACTGTCTTAAAGCTGGCCCCTTGCCAAAGAGTTCAAGATTTTGACAATCAGGCTCAAGGAGACAGAAAAAATATACGACTATGGTTTTACAACATAAATTATTCTGCAGAAATATTATCACTGCTCTGGAAGTGCATTTCAATGGTCTACATCAAGGACTGCAAGAGAGCTAAGCCTGATACAATAAAAATAAACACAATGCACCACTTACCCTCCAGAAATTTAATTTGAGAACAAGTTTCTGCTTACAGATGTAATTGTGCTCTGTAGAGCAACAGCTGGACTAAATGACTGAAGGGCAGCATGAAGGACCTACCACATACATGAAAACTAAGACCACACTCACCTTATAAATCCAGCTGAGACAAATTTGCTAGTAAGAGCTACAGGAACTGTATTCAGCTTGAAGTTCCACACTTCTGCTGGGACATAAAAAACATGGAGCTCCACCAACTAAAAAAAGCACAGATGATCACAACTGTAGATGTATTATAATCCTCTTCCTATACACTTTGTTCTGTTTAGGTGGACTTCCAATTTCTGTAGGCAGGAATGGTTCCTTTAATATTAGCACACAGACTAGAACAGTGGAGCTCTATCTCACAATAATGACAGCCATGAGCAGAGCAATTTGTGACTGAATGCCAGCTGACAGCATCAAAATAAGTCACATTAGAACAAGCTCCACAATGAAAGTGAAAGAATAGAGAGCTTGTGCTACTGCTGTGTTTCACTGTGACAGCAATGCACAGATCTTACCAAAACCAGCTGATACGCTGGAGAGTGTCATGATTACAAGAATCTCTCAGCTGAAAGCCTACCTTTGTTTATCTCATAAAAAATGCAAAGCCCTGAAAGCTTGATCCAAACAGCACCATGACTTGACATTGTCAGAAAGAAAAAAAATTTCAAAATATTTCTGACAGTTGTTAATAATATTAGCTACCTTGGAAGCATAGAAATGCTCCTGCAAAAAGAATAATTAAGCTGGTTCTGATCAAGGTTCACTGAGAGTGTGTTCAGACCTGTGGTAGTTGTGGCACTGTTAATATCTAGAGATAATTTTAGTGAAAATCAGATAGTATCGACAAAGATGACACACTTCCCTGTAACTACAAGCCACACAAATAAGCTATATTAAACATTTCTGCAATCGTTAATTAATATGAACTAGAAAACTATGCTTTATATATATACTATGTTAAAAGCACATTTTTTTCCTCTCAAGTTTTCTAGAACCTTATTTTAATATTTCTTTATTTTTATTTGTGAAATCCAAAAAATATTATGCAAAAGTACAAAACCTCTCACCTGTGATGTTTGAGGTCTCATTTGACTGAACGACATGCTGGTACCTTTCTTTATTGGACCACGGCAAATGCCAGATGGGCTTTCTAATTTTCTTTTTGATCAAAATATTCTTTAAGAATGAGTTTCATGACAATCTATTATTAGAGAAGCTACTCTATTAATATCCTTTCTTCTCAGTTACTGTTTTTCATTCCGTTTATGTAAATGGAAAAGTTGTTTCTGTGCTGAGGCAGAAAGCTTTCAGCTAAGTGCAAACAGACTCAACCACACCTTCTACACAAGTGAGCAGCACCTAAGTAACTGAGGGAATTGCTAAATCACAGCCCTGCAGCTCTGAGAGATCTGCCCTGGAGCACTTCCTCTTAACATCTTCTCCCCTTTCATAAAAATACTTCAGTTGTATATCATTTTCTACACAATTTTACTGTTTTCCTAAAGACACAGACGTAAATCCCCACAAAACAAGATTCTTGCAGGGTCTGTATCTGATAAAGTGACAATTATTGTGAACTGCAGCAAACAATACACTGTGCCAGCCAAATGCAGTGTGCTGAGGAAACCTGACTCTGCTGGGCAACCACGTCAGCAATGTACTTTCATAAATTATAAAGCATGGTTCTGCCCTAACCTTTTTACAGAATCATAGAATAATTTGAGTCGGAAGGGACCTTTAGAGGTCATCTAGTCCAACCCCCTGCAGTGAGGAAGGACACCTCCCAGTAGACCAGGCTGCCCAGAGCCCTGTCGAATCTGACTTTGGATGTTTTCAGGGATGGGGCATCTCCCATCTCGCTGGAAAACCTGTTCTGGTGTTTCACCACCTTCACTGTAAAAAACTTCTTCCTTATATCTAATCTATGTCGACCCCCTTTTAGTTTAAAACTATTACCCCTGTCCTATCGCAACAGGTGCTGCTAAGTGTTTCCATCTTTCTCTTTTCATTATGACTTTCCTCAGTCTTCTCACTTTGAAGGCTCCTTCAGCCCCTCAGAGGTTACAAACCTCCTCTGGATTTTCAGCCTGCTAAATGCCCTTGCTGATCTCCTGATCCCCTTAACAGCTCTGCTCTGATACTTTGGTTTCACCTGTTCTTGAGGCACGGGTGACCAGACCTTCCAGGTGTCCTTCCATCATGCAGCAGAGTTAAGACTTCCTCACGTCGGTGGGAAGCATTTACTTAAAAGGGCCTGTGTTTTTATTTGCCTCTGCACAATTATACCACAACAAGTTGTCGTGAATGACCTGGCTGTAATACCTCATCTCCTCTCTGGTTATTATCAAGGCATAGCAGGTTCTGGCACGTGCGCCTGCCATTAGTCCCTGGCAAATCCAAGATGCTGCACTTTGCAGCACATGACGTCCATCCCATGCTCGAGGCTTCATCACCATTCCTGGTTTACTTTCTGCAGTGAACTACGAGCAGTAAACTAATCCTCCAGGCTGTAGTCAAGACCCAAACTGCTGGCAAGAGCAAAGTCAGGAACTTCATTTTTCACATCTCAAAATAATCTCCAAACTTGGAACTTACTTGATACTACCACCAAGGTTTGCCACCTTGGTCTTCATGTTGCTTCCTCTTTCAGTCCACTTTATGGATAAACGGGGCAGGGGGGATTTCCGTGTCTGTCCCCCCGGGGCACACATGGCCCTCCGGGCACCGCGGGCCCTCCCGCCCCCGGCTCCCGCCCGGCCCGGCCCGGCCGCGGGTGCGCAGGCGCCGCCGTCCCGGGAGCTGTGGCCGCGCCGGGAAGTTGCTCTGGGTGTGCCCGCGCCGCTCCCGCCATGTCGGGCTCCTCCAACGTGGCGGCCATGAAGAAAGTGGTGCAGCAGCTGCGCCTGGAGGCGAGTGTGACCCGCGTGAAGGTGAGCGCGGAGCCGCGACGGGACGGGACGGGACGGGGCGGACGCGCCGCCATTTCACCGCCCCGGGCCCGCCGGGCCGGGGCAGGTCGGAGCCGGCGTCCCCGGCCCGCAGACCTTGCTCGGGGCAGAGCGCCCAGGCTTCACCCTGGGGCTCCGTCGGGGCTTCCCGGCCGGGGCGAGCCCGGGACGGCCGCACAGCCGCGTCCCCTCCGCCGCCGCCCTCCCGGCGCTCGGCCCGTTCGCCCCTCGCTCTCCGCAGACCCTCGGGGCCCCAGGGCCGCTCCCCGGGGCCAGGGACGCGTCCCGCGCGCCCCTTCCGTGCCCCCGGTCCGGGGAGCGTCGCCTTGCGTCGGGCTCTGGTGAAAGGGCGGCCCGAGTCGGGGCGCACAACAGGCTGGCCCGGCCCCAGCACTGTAAAATGGAGACGTCGCCGCCAGACACACAAAGTACATTGAACTCGTGCCGTGCCGGGGTGAGACACGGCCCGTAACACCAGGGGAACTCTGGGCAAACTGCAGATACGAGATACCAGTAAAAGATGCTACTTTTTGAAACTTTGATTGTTCTATGAGTTCAGAGTTACAGCAAAGTAAAGCAAGACAAAGAGTTTTTTCACTGTTCTGTTTTTAGGAAGGTACAGCCTGCCAAAAGCCCCACACGCTATATCTCATCATAAGGATGGCTTTCCAGGGGAGGACGAAATGCCAGTTCAGTCGAACATGTGAAACTCTAGGCTGTATTTTAAAATTATTTATGCTAGAACAAGGATCTTCATCTGTTTAATAAAGCCATCTCCAAGATGTTGCTTATCTGTCACCCTTCATGCTCAGAAGTTTAAAATGAAAATTAAACACACAGATTGATTCTTACTCTTATATTCTTCAACTTCTTGCCTTTAAGAAACAAAAAAAAAATTACAATGAAATGGTTGCATAAAAATCTACATAAGAATTCCTTATACTTTTAAATGTAGTTACATCCTCACTAAAGAGAGTTCAGTGAATTCTAACACCACCTGTTATTTTGACTAGGTTTCTCAGGCTGCCGCTGACTTGAAGCAATTCTGCCTGCAGAACGCGCAACATGATCCCCTACTGACAGGAGTATCATCAAGTACGAATCCATTCAGACCCCAGAAAGTTTGTTCTTTTTTGTAATTACGTGAACTACTTCAGTATCTTTCAGTGGTAAGTTCTTGAATTACAATTCATAAACTCTTTTGTCATTAAAAATAGCTGCCTTTAAATGAGACAGCCTTTATGAAAGGCACTCAGAAAAGACATCTGACTTTGGCAGCTGGTGTTGGTATAGATCCCCGTTTTGGGCCCCTCCTTCCCTGTTCTGGTCACAGCTCTGTACTGGACACATGCTGTTCATAAGTATTCCGAGTAGCACTTTGCTGTCAGAGCTTCTGCCAGTTGCTGTTGCTGTAGCAAAGTAGCGGGGCCACCTACTACTGAGCGGCTCTTTGGCCTAACCTGGTTGTATAGGAATTCTGCTCTCCGTAAGGGTATTATTTCCCTTTTCTCACATAGGATTAATCACCTGACAGCATATGTGGTGAAACCTGATTGTGGCAGATAAAGCAGACTTTAGTTCTTAAACTTTAAAAACACTTCCAAGGACAGATTAGTGGTGGTCCCCAAGAAGAGCACTGACCCCTGTGGGGGGATGAAGTGCCCTCCAAGCCAAAAGAAAAAAGTATGTAGTCCAAGAACGGTAGCAAGGCCCATACTCTACTCAAAAAAACTACATGGGTAGCAGTTTAAACAACTAGAAACAGTTGAATACTATTTGGATTTTCATTCCAAAACTTTCATTGGGTTCATTAGCGCTACTGCTGTCACCATGGAAACTACTCACTCATCTGGCATTCCCTAAGAATTCTGGTGATTAGATTTTAGGCAAAACTCTGCGAGTCACAATAACTTAATTATTTTGACCACAGTAAATGCATGATAATTTTATCGTGTTCCCCTTTCCCGTTGCCCCTTGACTTGGATCTGTTGGGGATGAGAGCATAGATATTATTTCAAAGCACCCAATACACAGTAATTAACTGTAGATCACAATCCTTAGAAATCTCATAGTGACTCAACCTTGAAAAATTCTGCTTTTGTAGTTGACTTACATCACCCAAAGAACTGTAGTTTACTAGATTTAAGTGTTAATAGGCAGCTTTATAGAAAGGTGACCGCAGTCAAACTAAATTGTTAACTGGTCTCCCCTAAAGGAAGAAATCGGATCATCTGTAAGCATTACAGATTGATAATTTATAAAAAGCCAAATAAACAGTACTTAATCAGTGACACATACAGTTCCCCATCGAGGTCTGCCAAGGTCTAGTAGTTCCTGGGTGTGGACATCAGGAAATAATGTTTCCTCTGTCTCTCACACATATGCACATACACAGGGCATAAAAGGCTTAATATTTTCTTTCTCAGTTACAGCCTTTGGAATGGAACACTTGTTTCTGTTTTAGTTACACTACCTATATGTAAAATTCCTTTACTTTGCTGTATCTCCTGCAGGACTTCCTGAAGAGAGGGGGTTTCTTAGTTGTAATTCCTGGTGTTTTCTCGATGAGCCAATGGCATTCATGTTTGCACAGTCAGCACCACCTCACTGAAGAGGAAGTGTAGTTTGTTACTTACACAACAGACTCCTTGCTTTGCAAAGGCAGAGTAGGTGCGTGATGTTTTAGTGGGCACGAAGTGACGGGGAACAATTTTTTCTGTTCTTCCACCTAGTAGTTTGGCTTCCTGGAGAAACTAAGCTTCAGTTCTTTTGTAACAGCTTTGATTATCTTATTATACTTTTGGGGATAGTTTCATGGTTTTAAAAGTTTATTGTTTAAACTAATGTTTTATAAAATAGCTGTAGAAAAAGAGGATTTTTTTCCTAAATAGCTGTCCATGGCATACTCTGAAGATATGTGTTATTAGAAATAGAGTTGCTTCATTTAGCACCAATACCTTTCTAACTAGATTTTGGTTTTGTTTTTCAGATCTTTTACCATCTTCTCCTACTTGCTGATGTGTGTATGAGCAGAATGCCTCAAGGAGCGGCCTGGTTTGAAGTCTGTACAAAAGCTTAGCTTTAACGTGCCAAATCTAACTCTACAAGTGCTACTGTTGTCAAACCTCTTACCATCTACCTCTCCAAATGAACTGTATGCTAGTTCTGTATTTCTGTTTCATAAGGGAATCAGTTTTATATGCCAAGCAAAAAATAAAAGTGTCTTGACTTAGTCTGGTCTTTAAATTACTGTAAGAAATTGATTAACTTTTGGATGTGGTGACACCTCACCAGTCACCACATCCCTCTGCAGCAGCTGGAGAGCAGAGAGAGGAGTGTCTAAATATTTTGTGCTGCTGCAAGTCTGCCTGGGGCTAATAGTTGTACAGAACAATGAGGCTTCAGCAGTACTATACTTAGAAGCATAACAGAAATAGAACAGAAAAAAATTTTTGACTGCTAGTTTGTAATTCAGCTATACAGCTGTGCCGTATCACAGACACTGAATAAAGACAAAGAGTAAATTATCTTTTATCTTAATGAGTAGTTCTACCCTAGTAGATGACTTACTCTGTGAGCCATCTTATTCGTTAAGTAATTAAAAAAAAGCACTTACAGCTGCACATGAAAAGAAAGTAACTCAAAGAAAACTTGGCTTTTTAGCTGCCAGTGAATGTGCCAACTTAAGGCAAAACAGTAGTTTATTTGCAGGTAACAGCAACTCAAGTATAGCTATGATGCTGAAGAAGCATTTTTAAAATTTTAATGGGGAAAATCCTGCTTAGACACCTCACACATTCACTGAGCAGCATTTTTAGATGAGCTAGCTTTATGTACTTCCTCTAAAGAGTTTTACAAATTCTTTCCCATCTGTCTTTGTTTCTTTTCAACTGCTTTGGGTATATACACCTCTTGTCAATATGATATTTACAAAAGACATACCTGTTGAGTCAAGCATATTATTTTTGTAACTTCAGCAACATGGCTATTTTATGCAAGATGTTAATGAAATAAAATACCATGGACTTCCTGGATTGCAAACTGCCTTCTCAATGTTCTCTAGATAGGAGAACATTCTTGGAAAACTATCACCATACTATCAAAACAGCATACTGTAAGTTAGAAAGAGGTTTAAAACATTTGTCTCTTACTTGTTAATTGTAGATGTCTGGGTTAACAGAGAAAAATCAGAACTGTAAAACTAGAAATACTTTATTTTGAGAATTTCTCTAACCAACGTATCTGCTGTCTTTGATGTTGTGAAGCATAATCTACTTCTACAGCACAGCAGCAATCATGGCAAACCTTCAGCGATAGCTAAATTACAGGCTGCTCAAACATTGCCATGTTTTTCCTGCTAAACTGGAAAAAGTCACTGTCCTTGTCATGTTGGCTCCAAACAGGAAGAAAGACACATCCTACTTGATCTGCTGCTGTAGAAAGTGTTATTGTTTGCAGTTTGTCTTTCTGCAGACAAATACCGTTCAGTATCATCGTTAGAAGTCTGAAATCATCCATAGTTGAAAGCAGCTTCTGTATTCCTGGTCACCAGCAATTGGCAGATTTCACTTATAAGTGGAATTTTCTTCTACTTGTGTCCATTTCTCGACGCTAAAATTTAAAAGAAAAGTTGTTTACCAACAAATTCATGCAACAGGATACAAACAAGGATGATCACTCCAGCTTATAGCAGGATAGGCAGTGAAATGTGTCAGTAACAGTGCAGTTGCAAATAAGTAGTCATGGTGTATTCATCATCCTTTCTATTTTTAATTTTGACTTGCAGTACAGCAGAATGTTTCTGCTTTGCCTATTTTGAGAAATAAAGCTCTAAATACTTCAGTTAAACACTTCTGTATTGACAACTGCATTTATAGTGCTTTTCTACGACAAGATTTATGGTTAGATTTCATGTCAGATTTATTCTATCCAAGCAGGATGATTATCATTACTTAGACATACCTTATGAATCCACTCATATTCTCCAAATTTGGAATCAAAAGTTCCTCTTTGAAGTGACCTCAGCTTTAATGTAAAACGTGGCCCAAGTTCTTGAATTCCCACTTTCTTTTCACTCTTGAATATATATCTTGGGGAAGAAAAGAATTAAAATTAGGAATCAAGTTACAAGAGTACTCTCTCTCATTTGTAAATGAGTTTTGTGGAAAACATCACCTGTGGAATCTGAAGAAGATGTAGTCTCGCTGGTTGTGAAACGTAGCTACTTGTCTTCCAATGAACTGAGGATCGTGCGGGAAGAGAGAAGCAAACATGCGGCCGAGGGAATGGCCGAGTCGCGTGGTGAAATTATTCAGGATCACTTCAGGCACGTGCTCTGTGGGCTCTTTCCCTTTTCGCTGAAGTGAAAGAAGAATGCAAAGAACAGATGGAATGCAAAAGGATTTTAATGTATTATCAGAGAAGAGTTTGACATAGGAAGATGAGAGGGCTGATAACATGCCCTAATCATTTTTTCAAACACAACTGAAATTCATAAACAAGTAAAGGAGCAGCTGGTAACATAAGATTCTTTGGTTCAACAATATAAATTAAATGAAAAAGCACAAATAATTTTACATTTCCAATCTCCTGCACAAATTTCTACTCTTGGCAGACCTGGGTGTAGCAAATAGTGCAGTCTACCTGTCATAGGAATATTCCCTCTGTACTGATACCAACTAAGAGCATTTTACTGCAAATTATTTAGGGCTAAGTAAGCAATATTTACTACAGAAGAGGTGACAGAGCTATAAGAATAAGAAGTAGTTCCTAGTCTTGAAAAAATCCTACATCTATTGAAACCTTTTCTACTGCTGATTTTTATATACCCTATTGTGTGCATGCTATATGTGGGGTATTCCCTATTGATGTAGGTTATCAGCTGCTATTTAATGGCATGATTATAAAAATACTTGGCAGACAGTTACAGAAGTTCAGCAAATAACCTCAAAAATGGAAGTAGAATACACTAGTCTTTAAACCCGTTAATTTACAAAAAAACCACTTTTAACAAGATTGGCTGAGTCATACAAAAGTGCAGTTTTGACAGTTCAAGTAGACTGAATGCATTCATCATTAAGCAACAGACTGTCCATTTCTCAAAATTTTTTGGAGTCTCACCTTTATTTCTTTGCGTAAACGCACACTACTCATTCTAAAATGAGCAGTTGGACCATCAGGCAGATGACTTAAAACAAGACCATCTGTGCACCAAGTTAAAAAAAAAAAAGGATGGTAAAATTCAACATGTAATTTACAGAGGAACATTTTATGCAAAATGCAATACTAGAGTATTATATCCATAATCTATGCCCAATTTACAAGGTTTTGTTATATTTTCAAACATACATTCACAGACTAGATAACTAGTGTTCTAAGTATGTCCATTAAATTATGTTTCAATAGCTAACAAGAGTTATCCTCTATCACATTACCAATTATTAATTGGTAATGTTTCATCTAGTCAGCAAAATGAAATGAAACTTCCTGGTCAGAAAAACTCGTTAATTAATCAAGCTATTAAATGTACTAAAATAATAACAATGGTTATCCATGCATTACAGACTAAAAAAAATAAAAAGCCAACCTATCTACACACTTTCTTTAATAATTTCAAGTTCCACTAGCCATTAGATAGTCAGGGAGGCACAGTGATTTTTAACTCTGTAATTTGCACAATAAAAAGAAAACACCACAGAGTTGATCTCTGATGCACTCTACAGAATTTTTTTCTTTCCTCAATAAATAGACAAAAGGTTACTTGGTATTTTGCGATCTTCATTAATGACAATTAAATCCGTGAAGTCTCTTGCAATACACTGTGGAATAATTCTTTTCAAAGCCAGTCCTCTTCGATAGTAGACATGTGAGTTGGGTAAAACAGTAGCCAGCTGTTCACAGAATCTCACTGTTCTCTGCAAAACAGGTGAATTAAATTGCAGAGTGGTAAATTCAGTGCCAAATTCAATTATTAGGGGGATGAAAGGTTGCTCATTTCAACTACCATCCTTGAGGATACATCACTTCCACTGTCTCAATAAATGCTTGAAGATAAGTTATTAAATTACTTCATTCAATTATTGGAAAAACATTCATTTGCAGTAAAGATTGCAGCATACCAGGACTATTTTTTTTTTAAGGACTCTTTTTTCTTCCCTCAATCATAGAAAAGCAGGAAAATTTCAAAAGCATAACTTCCAAACTCATTAAGGACACAAAGTTCACATCATTTCCAAGTACAGTATGACTGTTTCTTCAGGAACTGAAGATGTCTGTGTTTTTTGGATAAACTCTCTGAGGTGTACTTTTTCTTCTATTTTTAAAGCGCGTTTTTTTACGATTTTCACAAACATCAGTAATTTCTCCAGCTAGGCAATGTAGATCATGTCAATACAAGAACATATGCATGAGGTTGTTTTTTATTATGAAGGAAACAAAACACTACTAGAGAAGCCAATAGATTACATACATATATACAAGGTTATTGATAATCACTAAATAAAACAACTGAAAAAACCCACCATGAATGCTACTATTTTCAGCTTTACTTTATCAATCACAGTTTAAAAACCTTCCTATCTTATAACCACTTGACTGCTCATAACTTTCCAAGTAAAACACGTACCCCACGAGGTCGGTCTGATGTTGTGATAAGAATCTTGGGAACTGTCTGTCTGTTGAAATATGGTGCAAATTCATCAGTTGCTTCATCAAAAGCAACCTGGAAGAACAGAAGTCTTGTTAATCCACCATGTACAAAATAATTGAAGAACAATTCTTCAATCTGATCTAAGTTTCAATTCACAAGATCTATTTGTAATTAATCATCCTAAGGCATGTGGTTTTTACATTTTTAAGAATCCAGTGTGATGAACACGGGCAGCTCTTACTATCAGTACCAGTAATGCAAAAGGCAATTATTTAACACAGATAATGAAAGAATGACATCACCTCTTAGTGAGCCCATCATGTGTATAAAGTAATTCATCAATGCATTAACAGGAGAGTGCTGAATATTCAGTTTCATCAATCCAGTTTATGTTCCTTCTCAGAAAAAAAATGGTTAACTTAATAGCACATGCAGAAATTAAAGCAGTTACCTCTTCATCATTGGGATCTACGGTGGTTTCATCATACACTCGCTGATTTTCAATAGTCTTTGGTATGGGTTTTGGAGGTGCCTAAAATACAGAAGTTTATTAACATAACACATTCATGTAATTATTAAGTATATTGCAAATACCACA